CGTACTTCTCAAGACATGTATATGATTCGTAAAATTATGCTTTATTTAATCAACTTTGTATGCATATAACTTTTTAACGAACTACGAGCGACGGCTAAAACCTCTTCAAGGTCACTCAGGAGGGCGACCTTGACAACATATGTCAAGGTCAAGGTCATCGGGGCTGGCTCCCTTCATCGATATATTTACCAATTCAATTCCATATTGTACTTTTGTTAACTTTTTGTATGTAGAAACTGCGGCGTTTGCAACACATACCGGAAGGCGAACGACCATCAGTATGCAGATAAATTGTGGAATGTATCCTGTCGTCTTTTGCATTTGGAACCTGAAGAAAATTTTACTACATTTTTGAAAACCGTTTCACGCCAAATGCCGTAATATGATTTCTTTGTTCTTAAACGAATTATTATTTTATATACGGAAAAATATACAGATAACGATTTTTAATAATTAATTGTTAACTATTGCGAAAAATTTTTAATGATACTGGTACAGAGTGAATCATACAACATCCGACCAAATTTGTAAGAAGGTAGAACGGATCGAGATAAACAGGACCGTCCTGTAACATTTTACAACTTTCGCAATAGTTAACAAGTAATTAATTATTAAAAATCGTTATCTTAGCCCGGCCTACCGCTCAATTCGATCACGTGGCGAGATGTGACCGCCCGGCGAATACCAGGCTCACGGAAAATTGTTTGTCGCAATCGGCAAACGTACGAGCGGTGCGTAAAATAAGTGAATTAATAAATCAGATGTAGATTCCATCAGTTAAGCCTTGCTAGTCTCGATACTAAGAGAATAAAAGATGATTAACAGTTTTACACAATGTAATTTTGCAATTATAATTTGCGCCATTCCTCTTGTGTGTTCTACTATCTCTAACGGTAGCAAAAACTAATGACCGTATTCAAGTATTTTTTCCCAAAGCTTGAATCTGCATACAGCATATGCGTATGTACGATGCTAAAGCCGCTGGAGAACTCGATCAGTGTCGATAAGATAGGAGATCGCGTCAATTATCGACATTTTGATATCTTGCAGCACAATATATTACTGTTATATTACTGTGTAATATTTCTATGTAACATATCAGTAATATTAATGTAATATTACATTGCAATATGTAATATTACCGCAATATTATAATATTACTGATATATTACGTGATATTATGTGCTATGTGGGTTATTACTCACACAAAAATTTACAGATAACCTCTTCTGTTAGATAAGAAAGTAGTGTATACAACAGGGTGTCATTGAATATTGGGGACTTTTTTGGTGTGCAGGTAGAGCGGACTAGACCGAGTCGAAAAGACCTGTACCATTTTGCAATTTTCGCAATAGATAACGAGTAATTAATTATTCAAAATTGTCGTCTTAGCCCGGCCCACCTCCCAATTCGAGCGTGACGGGGCTCCTGCGCATTTCTCCCGGCAAGTACGCGGATTTTTAAACGCGCGATATCCGGACAGATGGATGGGTCGAGGACGACAGAGCTGCTGCGCGTCGAGTGGTAAGTCAGAAACTGTTTTTTTTTTTCAGGCAACGAATCTACATCTTGTAGATCGTAGATAGTATATAGATTAGTATATCTCGTAGATCCGTTGCCTAAAAGTGGATAGAGTATAACATAACTTTATATTTATTTTAATATTTTTCATCTACCGAAAGGGAGTGATCGCGATTTTTACTGCGAAGGGCTGGGTGCCCCGTTGCAGCACATTACATATTTTCACGTAAAATATGACGAATATTATTGATATATTCGTCGAGCTAATCTCTTGTAGCCTATCCATTTTTTATTAACAAATTTATATATAAAGTAAAACAATATGACGTGAGATTCTAATATTTTGTCGAGAACGCTGAAACTTTGTGTTATTTTTATACTTTATTTGAGATTATTAACTAGAATATTCCATTGTCGATCTATCTATCGTACGGAAAGTTTCTTTTCTCTGGGTCTCACGTCATTTATTCTGTATGTGTATCTCGCGATACTCTTTAAAGATGCGTCTCGCATGAATACATGCATAGTTACACGCAACTTCATATTTTCGCGGTCGGTCTTCGCGAACAGTTTGTTCAGAAAATTTTTAAGAAGTTATTAATTTTTTAATTTCATCCTGATTATAAATTTTAATTTACCGCGAAATGTAATTAAAATAAATATAACGCGAAGTAAATTGTTTTTTTCTACATACATATATATGTATAATGCATAATATGATTATAACAACCTGTCTTGTCAGAACTTTCTCCCACGATGAACGATGAATAAAATAAATCAAGAACGGATAGTTCAGTCTGTCTCTCGAAGTTTTAATTTTTAACTCTATCGAATGATTGTATCCGCAGTGTTTATCGCAGTACAAAAAAGTTCCGGTATCACCGAAGTTTGGATTTCTTTTTTTCATAGAAAACGCTTTTAAATTCAGTTAAAATAAAATTGGTCATAATGCAAATAAAATCATGCTGATCGAACAAGGGCTCAGAACGCCAACTTTTAGTAGAGAGAGAGAGAGAGGTCTGAAAGCCTGTCACGGCCTGGTTTTACGTAATCCTCGAACACGATATGCCCTCAATAAAAGAAAACTTGTCACTTACCGACAAGATGCGCAGCAGCGAAGTTACATCCAGTTTAATTGAGCAATGGCGCCCGATGCCTTCCGCAGGGTGTCCTCCCCTAAGGTATCCTTGTCTGGACTGTCCTTCGACGCACTCGCCAATTCGCACTCCCGTTTCTAAAAGCGATGGTCACTTATACAAATGCCACTGTATTCACTGTGTCCGAATTATAGTTGCACGTATAAACAATCATCGCAACGACGAAATTCTTTCAAGTCAGCGAGCGCCTCGATCCGCGGACCTACGGATCTCGCGCGTGAGTCGCGCTAGAAATCCGCCTCGCCGGCTGACCCGAACATCGATGGCAAATCGCGGGGATTGAGCGATCACGCGACGACATCGATCGCCAATTATTCGCCGCGAGCGATCGCGGTTTCGTTCCGTACTTGTCGCGAACGCGTAACACGAAAGACTAATACGGTACGTGGAGCGACTCGTCTGACTGTCGTCACACAACTAACTCTGCGTACGGCGTGACCTATGTTTTGCCGGGTGCCGAATTCCGAGCGCGGATTCCAAGAAATGACGTAGCACTATAGACCGAACGTTGTAAACAAAACGCCGAGCGTTGGTTCAATGGAATGACGTAGACCCCGTGAATACCTCCCTCGGTCGAAAAAAGTCTATCGAATCAGTCGAGCGATGTCCCGCGCGTACTTCACGTCGCTCCTCGTAACGCGATTAGTTTCTAGAAGGTTGTCGACCGTGCGCGACGCAACGCGATCGTCTCCTAACGAAAGTTATTAACGTTTGTCAATTCGCGCTAAGTTAGTGTCGCGGATCCGTAGTCTTATCGTTCGATGATTTGTCGAGACGAATATCACGCGTGATTGAAGTGGAAGCGCCGTAAAGTCCGTATCAGACTACGGATTGGGATTGGGATTAGATTGAAATTTGACCAATCAGAGTAAAAGTTACTGAACTTGAGATTAGTAAACTTTACTGCGATTGGTTAAATTTCAATCTAATCCCAATCCCAATCCGTAGTCTGATACGGGCTTAAGGAAGATCCGTAGATCCGATAATTACAGCGCTCGCTGGCTTAAGATAATTTCTTCATCGCGGACACTTACGGACGATAATCGTTTACGTGTGCAACAATAATTCGGACACAGTGAAACGTGAAGACAGTGGCATTTCGATAAGTGACTATCGGTTTTAGAAACGCGAGTGTGAAGTGGCGAGTGCGTCAAAGGACAGTTGAGAGGATAGCTGAGAGGAGGGCACCCCTACGGAAGGCATCGGCCGCCATTGCAGAACAAGGCAGATTCAACTCCATTACTGCACATCGTGTCGGTGAGCGAGTAGTATTTTTATGAAGGTAACGGAATCTACATTTCGTAGATCCGTTACCTTAAAAATGGATTGGTTACAATTACGCCTTTCACTTAATTAATTTAATCTATCGAAGAGAGGAGTGATTTCGCAGAGCTCCACAACTCCGAGTACATTGAGCTCATTTTTTATATTGAAAATCGTTTAACTACATCGCAGAACTTACGCGAAATATGACGAATATTGTAGCCTATCCATTTTTAGTAGCAAATTTATATACATATATGTATGAGGTGAAATAAAAAGACGTGAGATTCGAGTATATCTTGTCGAGAATACTGAAATATTGAATCATTTTCATACTTTATTTGAGAATATGAATGAACTAATATTCAATTATAATGTCGGCATCGCTCATGTGGCAAGTTCAATTTTTTTCGGATCTTACGTCATTTGTTGTGCATATCTCGCCATATTTTCAAGATGCGTTTCGCATGAATACATGCGCAGTCACACGCATCTAGTATTTTCGCGGTCGGCTTTCGCGATCGGTTTTTAGCAAAATTTTCCAGAAATTATTAATCGTTCAATTTCATCCATATTATAAATTTTAATTTATCGCGGAATATAATTGAAATATATACAACGCGAAGTAAAATTTCTAGATTTACGCTTGAATTTTATATTCAAAGATCGTGTCACGAATACTGTTGGAAACGAAAGTAAAATTATACTTTGATTAGTTTTGTACATAAATTTTTTTTAAATTAAATTTCTTCTTTGAATAACTTCTCTCGTGATCGCGCATTTTTCGAAACGATCGTCGCTCGCATATAGTTCGAACCGTACGAAATATCTGTCGGTGATAAACCGACTATGGAAGGAGTTTCTTTCCTTCCTGATCTCTGGTCAAAATGACCAGACTGTATGGCCAGGAGCAACGAAAGGTATGTCCAATCTGGCCCAACGAAGGGATACGCCGAGTTAGTGGTCAATATTGGCCACTCTGATGGAGTATGTAAAGTGATTTACATGATTTAATTTGTTTTATTTGTCAAAATTCGGGTGGGTTATACTTTATATATTCTTGCATATGTATGCAAGATTGAAAAGTCCCTATTAAATCCCAATTGCGCGCATATTATAACCCTGAATTGAACTTTTTAAATTTGGAGATTGAGTCACGAAGAGACAGTCATTATCTATTTTTGAATAAATAACGGAGATAAAAATATATTATATTTGATTAGTTTGATGCAGCAAATTTTTTAAATAAATAATTAACTTCTCGTGGTCGTGCATTTTGATACGATCGACGCTCGCATATATAGTTCGAACCGTACGAAATATCTGTCGGTGACGTTAATAAACCGACTGTGGAAGGAGTTTTCTTCCTTCCTGATCTCTGGTCAAAATGACCAGATTGTATGGCCAGGAGCAACGAAAGGTAGGTCCAATCTGGCCCAACGATGCGGTACGTGGTCAATGTTGGCCATTTTGATATGTGAGTAAGATGATGTACGAAATAAGCTGATTTCTTGTTATTTGTCAAAATTCGGGTGGGTTATATTCTTTATCTTCTTTACATATTCTCGCATATGTGCGAGATTAAAAAGACTTTTATTAAATCCCTATTAAATCGCGCGCGTATAATCCCAAATCGGACCTCTTATAAATCGCGTCGCGGTTTTAACAAAAGACTTGCAGGTTTATTAATAAAAAGTTGAAACGCGGGTAGGTAGGAAAATGGATAAGACTATACAGCGGAATACGGATAGGTAGGGCTTCGGGTAGGCAGGGACAGGGGGACATAATTAAAAAGATAGATAAAATTATAACTGCAATGTATGACTATTAAATATAATTATATATAATTATATTTGCCATTATTTTTAATAAAAAATTATATAAGTTAATATATTTTTAATAAAACGTATTAAATTACACGAAAATAATTATTAGAAACTTTATATTGTAATTTTTTGTATTTTATTTTAAATTTTACAACATTAGTTGTAGAAATTAGAAAAATGTAATACTGAATATGCAATCGAATGCATATAATAAGATGGGAGTTGTGCATTTGTTAAGTTTTTACTTTAAATTTACTTAAAATATTTGTAGATTTGATTTATTTTTAAAAGACCGTTAATAAATACATTCAGGATATTTTTTAGTCCAAACATGCAATACATATACATTTTACATTGCAACAATTTCATGTTATTATATGCATACCGAATATTTCATATGTAACGTCGAGAGAAATATTGTATTGCATAGATATTATATTTTTAATTTTATAATATAATTATTTGTTTTATAATATTATATACATTGTAAAGGAAATTACAAGAAAAATAAAATAAATAATAAAATTGTAAAAAATTACATTGTAAAGAAAAGAAGGCCGTCGATCGAAATTGGCGGGGATAGTGGAGGGCCTCATATTTTTACAATGCACTTTCAACACAATACCGTGCAATTATTGATACGAAACATTGCCGTTAAATTGTAGAAATATTTAGAATCTCTCCTATTTTTCTTTTTTCTTTCGTAAACTAAAAAACTTCATTTTCTTTAATTTCTTCAATTATTCCAAAGTTATATGAAAGTCCCTCAAATTATTCCAAACAAACATACATATGGGTAACATATAGGAACATATACATGTATATGGAAGAGTTTTTTATATAAATAAAATTTAACTATTATCATATAGGATGTCCTGGTAAAGGTTGCCAACCTCTTTTTTCAAAATTACGTCTACACGAATTGTTTACGTGATGTTTACATTAACTTATTTCATGTAGACAATGTAAACTTTATAAATTAGATGTCAAAATGCATAGCACGGACACGCACCAAGTGGAGACTTTATCGACAGTGCTTGAAAATGGGCGTAGCGGAGTAGTTGCAAAAGTAAAAGTGGACGTAAAGCGCTGGAAACAGCCTAGCAAAACGGTAACAAGTAAAACGCCGGCGTGGCCGCTCTATAGTCCAAAAGTTAGACTCTATATATATCAGAATAAATTAACAGCATATTTTAAGAATATTCTTACTAGTAGAATAAATTAAAATAATATAAATAAAAAGATAATGTAACATGCCCAGTAATTAAAACATTTACTTCATGTTTTAGATTTAAAAAAATGATAAAATAATACACATATAATACATATAAATATATATATACATACATATGTATCGTAAAGAATTATTTGATGCCAGTACATGATTAACCGAGGTAGAAAATTGCTAGGCGACGCTTGGCTGGCAAATTCTAATTAAAGAAATTTATTACGAAAAATATTACCTCAGCCAGAATTTGAACCTGAACCTCCCTACACTCTAGGCGGGCGTCTCACCAATTCAATCACTGAGGCATGTGGTAATATTTATTGCAATAAACAGTACTACTGATGACATCTTCGCGTTTATTTTTCTACTAGAACTGCGCGCCGATTCGGGTTGTCGGCTGTACACAGAACTACATATGTACACATATACAATACATATGTATGTTTGCATGTATGACACACGCAATGCATATGCGACGGACAAACATACTTATAGTTTGTACATATACATGTCAGGAAATATATCTATGTGAATGTAGAAAAATGCAACTTGAGGTATAAATCATGCATATATGCATTCTTTATGAATATATATGCAGAAAGGAATAAAACAAGAAAAAAATACATTGTTTAATATTTACATATAAATTAATTTTGATTAGCCATAAACTGTTCCATATATGCATTGTATATCTATAAGTATAGAAGCTATTTTATGTAAATTGGAAAGAGAGAATAAACTTTTTTAGAGCATTATTTATTTATCCCTATAAAATTAAAATAATTTAAAATAATTTTAAAAAAGTTGCCAATATATTTCCCGCAGGATATACATTTTTGTTACAATCGAATACTGTTGTAAAGTTTATTCTGTAAACCATACACCAAATATGCAAGAATAATTCATATCAAATTAAAAATGTGTCCTTTTTGCAAGAGGCAAGAAAATAATGCACTTTAGTTAAACTTGATTACCAGCACCTTCGTATTTTAGATCCGATATAAGAGAGATGACTCACCTATTCTTACGTGGTAGTGTTGTAATAGCCATGTTCAAGGACTTCTCGTACTGATTATTATCCTCCTTAGAGCGTCTCGGGATTGCCGTATAGGCATCCTGCGTAAAACTGTAAGTCCTTCGTTTCTTTAGACACAACATATTCTTAATTGTTTTATTCACGATCTTTAATGTCACCATT